ACCCTCGGCCCTAAACTCTAAACCCTAAACCCTAAACCCGAAACCCTAAACCCGAAACCCTAAAACCTACACCCTACGCCCCAAATCTTAAACCCTAGATCCGAATTACGAGAAAAGAAAGCAGGGAATACTATAGGGGCCGAAGAAAAGTACCCATTTTTGCATGCACCAAAACCTTATTCTAATTATTAAGGCCCCTACATTATAGAACCCCTGTAGAAACCTAAACCCTAAACCCGAAACCTTAAACCCTTATAGAATCCCTTTTAAGGAACCCTTTCAGGGAACCCTGCCTTCAAGTCTTAGCTACAGCGCAGGTAGCTGAGCTGAATCGTTCCCCGGGCTCCGCCTCGAGCCCAGTTGGAGGGGGATTGAGGGGTTTAGGCTTTAGGGTTTAGGCTTGAGGGTTTAGGGTTTAGGGTTTAGGCTTTAGGGTTTAGGGTTTAGGGGTTTAGGCTTTAGGGTTTAGGGATCGCTCTGAAGGCGGTTCGTATTCGGTATTCTTATGATCACTGCTATCCTTGTTCTTGTTACCTCCATCAGCCTTTGGGTAGTTCTCTAGATTAGGGTCCCTTTTAGGGTCCTTGTTGTAAGGGTGCCGAACTATTTTGGGGACCTACAAAGGGACCCTAATTTAGAGAACTACCCTATACTCATACCCTCTTTATTTTGCTATTACTACCTCGTTTTTTGTGAGAAGGCGGGGCAAGGGGCACTGGGGAGGTTTTGCAGGCCTTAGTTAGGCTTTCTGGTTCTCTGGGACTTCATACTGTTTGAGTTTAAGGGTTTAGGGTTTAGGGTTTAGGGTTTAGGGTTTAGGGTTTAGGGTTCAGGGTTTAGGGTTCAGTCATGCTTTCATGTAAAGTGGCTTCGGCCCTTTTCAGGGCTTGGCTTCGGTAGAGTGTTTAGAGCTTTTTCCACGGTCAAGCGCCTTCAATCGTCTTGCCACCAGTGAGTACAATGACACTCCCGGTACCTTCGCTCTGCAAGATGAGAAGTAGTGACAGGATCGCAGCAGCAAAAGCAGCAAACAGCACTGAACCAGTATGTGAAGCAGAACAAGAATGAGAGTCCCAGCAACTGGTGCAGTGATTTTTCGCCGAAATAAAAGCTGTGATGCGTCACTGAACAAGCCAAAGATCAGCGCAGCACTTTTGCAGCGCGAGTGACGGTTTCACCGGAGTATAGTAAACACTGCCGAAGGAAATATCATGGCGAGGGTTGCACATGATGATGTTAAGGAGAGGCGTGCTCCAAAGAGTTAACTTAGCTAACACCATAGTACCAAGTGGACAGGCTTGTGAGTCAATCTGAACCCACATTCTGCCTATCCATCCATCCGTTTACTTGTCTATTCGTCTACTCTTCTCTTCTTGACTGCCTCTTTTCGTCGACGTATGCCTTAAACACTAATCCTGAAACCTCAAACCGAGGCACAGGCACACATCACTGCGGCAATGATCCCCAGCCTTAGCCTGCGAGAGATACACTCCACAAGCCCTAAACCCTAAACTCCCCAAATCCCCACTTGGAGGTTCATGGGTAGTTATAAGTAGGGTTGTAAGTAGGCCAACTATACTTATAACCTATATTAGGGGACGTATAACTCCACTTATAACTCCAAGCAGCCATGGCAGGTACAGGGTCCCGGCCAGCAGACCCCGGCGGGCAGGCTTGTGATCCTGGTTTCTTAATTCAAGGGGTCTAAGCCTCTGCCTGTAAGAGTTCCTATAAGTTAGGGTTCAGGGTTAAGGGTTTAGGGTTTAGGGGTTTTAGGGTTAAGATTTTTTGCTTGGGGAGGAGGGTGGGGGAGGGTAGGGGTTTCTTTTAAGGCTTTGGGCGTTAGGTATAAACTAGCTACCACGTACAGGGCTTCCTTTCAAGATTCCAGTAAGAGGTCTACTGTGTTTCTGCTGTGGGTGTGGGTTCACATATCTATCATCTGTTCATAAGTACATATAGTACGCACAGACGGGCAGAAAGGCAGAAATAATTCAAGATGGATAGGAACATAACACATAGCAACAAACGAACGGGCGAAAGAAGGACACCGATAAAGATGGGTCGATAGACAGACAGGCAAATCCGTAAATCTAAATCGATAGATGAACAACCGCATGCTTAAACATATAAGAAGTATGTGTAAACAAGTGAACGGTGAATAAACAAATCGATGAACACGTCCCGTAAATAAGCAAGTACGCAACTGGCTCAATCATAGATAAATCCGGCGGTTCGAGTATGCAGTTTTCTTAGTTGATCAGGTCCAGCAAAGGTTTTGGGTTTTGTTACGGGCTTACGGTGCACGCTCTTCTTCTTCTTCTTCTCGTTGCAATTCTTTCCTTTTCAGGTTTAGGGTTTAGGGTTTAGGGTTTAGGGTTTAGGGTTTAGTTTTTTGGGTTTAGGGTTAAGGCTTATTTTCGTTCTTGTTTCAGTACGTAGGGTTTCAGGATTGAGGGTTCTTTTGCATCTTCTTGGCTTAGGCTTCACGATGTGCGTTGCGTAGCAGCTGGCCAGGCGCAAAGCCCTCGGCCTAGCATAGAAGCCTGAATAACTACCAATGCTCTTCCTTAGGTTTCCTGATCTTTTTATACCCACAAACCCTATTCTTATTATTAAGGCCCTTATGAGTCTTAAGTCAGTTATATTCAGACCTCTATCCAACTGCCAATATATAGCCAGCAGTCAACAGAATGACATGATACTATGTGGTGCTAGACTCAGTTTGCTGAAGCGCGGATTTAATTGCTGTTTGGAAGATGTGCATTGCTGTTGAAAAAAAGGCCCCTACATTTGGCGCGAAGCTGTAGCCTCAAAACTCTAAATCCTACGCCCCAGACCCGCAACGCAAAGTCCTAAGCCCTAAAGCCCTAAGCCCCAAACGACGGATCTTCCATATGCAGCGAATTCGGACGCTTCCTCATCCCTTCTCACAGGTCTGATGGCAGCGCTGCGATGCTGCTTCCCCAGTCTGAGTTGAAAGGTTCACAGGTTAACAATTGAATAGGGTTTTGGAGTATAAGATAGTATAAACTTTAGCATATTTACAAGAAGGAGCACTAAGGAATAATATCGGTTTTATTGGTAATTAATTAGTTTCTATCTGTATTAGGGCTGTTAGGGTTTGAGGGTTTTTTCGGTTCAGGGTTTGGGGGTTTCAATCTTGCCTCTCTGTATGCTTAAACTCGCAATCCGGGTCAGGGTTCCATGTTTGGGGTGTGAATGACCATATTAGAGCACCCCCCTCAAAAAAACAAAAATCATGTTTTTGAAATTAGGCCACCCTACTAGGGTTGAGAGGCTTCGTTCAGGGTTTCCATGACTCCCAGCCTGTTCGGAGTTTAGATGCGCTTCACAAGGTTATGTACCGGTTCTCTAACGGGCTTTGGGTGACGCTCCCAGAGGCCTTGAACTAAGGAACCCACCATAGACTATAATATAGTGGCCTAAACAATTACCGATATTATTTTTTATTTTTTTTTTCATCGGGACTTTGCACCTCCTGAATGAATGATATTATTTTTTTGGTTAGTTATTACAGTTACAGTATAATGAGCCCAAAAAACCCTGTTCTCACTACTACGCTCCCAGCCGAAGAGCGAGCCTCAGCATGATTTGAGGACATCCTTCGGTTGTTTCTTTAGAGTTTCCTAAACCCTAAACCCTGAACCCTAAACCCTAAACCCTAAACCCTAAACCCTAAACCGGATTTCCGGAAATGTAGTGATGGCTTCACTTTAACTTAGGGGTGCTCAGAATGAGGATCTATCTAGGCTTTCGGGTTTAGGGTCTAGGGTTTAGGCTTTAGGGTTTCGGCAGAAGGCTTCATCAAGCTTTATGCTAAAGCCTAAAGCCTATACCCTAAGCACCTTCTAACCCTGACCGCTAACTTTTAAACCCTAAAGCCTAACCCTTAAATTTAAACCCGAAACCCTGACGCCTGACCCCTAAACCCTAAATCCGAAACCCTAAACCCTGAACCCTAAACCCTGAACCCTAAACTCTGAACCCTCAAGCCCTGAGGCACCAAAAGCAACTCTAGACTTCTGACACCGTGAATCAGAGGATCTTGAATTTGCCTTTGTACTTAGGGTTTCGGAGCTCAGGGTTTAGGGTTTAGGGTTTAGGGTTTAGGGTTTAGGGTTTAGGGGATGAGGGGTTTAGGGTTCGGGTTTGTTTTTTTTGGCCTTTCTTTGCAGGGTTTGGTGGGTTACTAAACGGGTTGTGCATGGCTCTGTAGTGTTTATACGGGTTTTCTGGGGTCTGATTAGCACAGGCGGAGAGCTTCCGCCATTTGAGTAGGTCTTGGCTGTATCTTATGGCATCATGCTAAGAGGACCAGAAGCGGATATGACTACTTTTCATTCAGACCTCCTTACTACCGCAAAGCACCTTTATAGGTTTAGGGTTTAGGGTTTAGGGAACTCTGAGTGCTGTGACTTGGCAGTCCTTCTGCCGAACACGTTGTAAATCTTATAGCTAGAGTTGATGGCACCGGGTCGCGTACCTCGCGACGGTAGAGTCGACCGTAAGTATGTTGGTCGCGGGGTGCTTCAGCTGTTCGGTTTGGGGTTTAGGGTTTAGGGTTTAGGGTTTAGGGTTTTAGGGTTTAGGGTTTGGGATTTCGGGTTTGACGTTTAGGTCTGCTGCGCGGATTTATTTTGTTTACGACTCTTCTTACTGAAGGGCCGCTTGATTTAGCAAAGTCAACAATGGCAACACGACATCTTGAAGGCCATGACGGCTCCTTGAATACCCGAAGTTTTGGACGGATCCGTGCCCCTGAAAGCATCGTTAAGAGCCACTTTTAGGGTTTAGGGTTTAGGGGGTTTAGGTGGTTTAAGGGGGTTTAGTGGGTGTAGGGGGTTTAGGGGGTTCAGGGTTTGGGGTTTGGGGTTTTGGGTCTAGGGGTGTGTAGACACTGTGCGCGCGGTGGGTGCGCCTTTTACTGTAGGAATAGGGGCGCACCCACTAATCGCGCGCTTGCGTTAGCATGTAGTCCCGCCCCAACCACCCCTACTATTCTCAATTAGGGTTTAGGGTTCACCCCCCAAACCCCTCTCAAGGGGGGCTTTCCTACTCTCTTCTTCCCTTCGCGGCTTAGCATAAGATGCGCGTTTGACAGCAAACCACAGCTACGATGGATTAGTCTCGGGTTGTGGGTCCTCGCGGCCTGTGCCGGCCGCTCGACGAGAAGCAAGGGTTCCCGATACGCCTGGTTGAAGGGAAATCGGAAAGTCGCCCCCCAGCCCAGGAGCCCCTAGGTCCCTGCAATCTGCCAGCCTGGGCCCCCAGACCCGCCTGGGGGTACCCCCCTCAATGGTCGTGGATTTGGGGCTAATTATAACGGACTGACGTCCGTGTTGTGTGAGGCGCAGCCGAGTCATTTCCGTCCCCGTATACCGGGAGGCTTTATCCTCCCTCAATGTTCTGACGGGACGCTCGGCCGCAGCGGTGCTCTCGGCAGTTTAGGGTTTAGGATTTAGG